TCATCCCCTTTTAAAGCCATCTATGCCTGGTTCAAACTATGAGCTGGTTTAAACTGGGGGTGGCATTCGAGAGCCCAAAGCTGGGATATGTTATTTCTCCTTTGTTCAGTTAGGACTGTTTATTTGCAGGTTTGATTTTTAAACATTTCGCAGAGAGCTGTGTAGTTATCTTCACCTATAGTCCGCCTTCTCACTAGAACTTGGCAGATTACAAGCTCAAGTGGTTAAGACACTGAGCTGCAGGCTGGAATGTCGGTAGTTCAGCAGTTCGAGACCCGAGTGCCGTGTGACGGAGTGAGCTCCCATCTCTGGCCCCAGCTCCTGCCAACCTAGCAGTTCGAAAGCAAGAAATTGCAAGTAGATAAATAGGTACCATTTCGGTGGGAAGGTAACAGTGTTCCGTGCGCCTTGGTGTTCAGTCATGCCAGCCACATGACCACAGAAACGTCTTCGGACAGCGCTGGCTCTTCGGCTTGGAAACAGAGATGAGCACCGCAACCCTAGAGTCGGACTCGACTGGCTTTTGAGCAAGGGAAACCATTACCTGTAGTCCGTCTTCTCACTAGAACTCGGCGGATTACAAGCCTGATAGAACTATTCAGTCAGTCACTAAGCTGATTACAAACCGCGATAGCCACCTTTGAATTGCAACGACATTTGAATTTAACTGGAAAGATTCCTGGTAAAGCAAAGCTATTCAGTCAGTCGGCAGGCAGAGCACAAGAGATGGGTTAACGTTTGAGACGGATGCCGTCCGTTGACCGAAAATGTGTCGGAGCCTTTGGTAATTGGCTCTTTTTAATATGAACCCGGTAAGACTCTTAACGTTGTTGTTTGTCTCTGGCCAGCTTTTGTTAACAGCTCTGGTGGAACAAAACCCCGAGGACATGGGCGATCTGTACCTTGACGTGGCAGAAGCGTTCCTTGACATCGGGGAATACAATTCTGCGCTCCCCCTCTTGAGTTCCCTGGTCTGCTCAGAAAGATACAACTTAGCCGTCGTTTGGCTCCGCCACGCAGGTAATTTCCTGTTGTTCAGGTTAGGACGCTCTGCTGATCCAATCCGTGATGATGCATCTTGTCATTTACGAGGTGTCAGTTACGAGGTGACTGGGGTTCCTGCCCAGTGAGGGTGCTGTGTCAAGGTGTTCTTTGGGAGGAGGGGACACACAGAAAGCCGCGTGGTTTGTCACGTGTATTTCAGAGCATCCATCGTGGCTGATTTTGTATTTCATAAAAAACTGGAGATGCACGGGCTACGGAGGGATATTGGCAAGTTGTTCCTGAAACAGAAGGAAGACTTTGGCACAGCTACCTGGAACTGAAAGACGCTGTCCGTAGTGCTGAACTGTCAGGGACTGTTGTGGAGCTGTTACTAAGGATCCAACAGCATCGAATGCAATAGTGGCATCGGGGTTATGATCAGAATAATCCTTTTGAGGAAACAGGAGCCCTTAATAGCTACACAGTAGAAGTCGATCTGAATATAATATATCAGTAAAACGAAGAAAATTGATTCATTTGAACTGGGGTGTTGGAGGGGAGTTTTCTGGATACCGCGGACGGCCAGAAAGACAAAGAAGGGGGTTTCTAGATCAAATGAAGCTTGAACTCTCCCTAGAAGCTAAAATGACTCAGCTGAGCCAATCGTACTCTGGTCACATGATGAGAAGACAAAACTCATTGGAAAAGACAATAATGCTAGGAAAAGTGGAAGGCAGCGGGAAAAGAGGAAGACCCAGGGGTCATTTCGTAGAAAAAGAGGTGCAGGAGCTCATTAGCTTAACTTATTAGCATAACTCATTTGCATATGCCACACACTCTGACATCACCGGAAGTGTGTCAGAAGGCAACACCCACTGCTCAGGCTCCACTGGACAGTTTTGGATTGCTACCTATTGGGGGTGGGGGAAACGTGCAGATCTGTCCTCGCAGAGGAGGGAGAGCTTGTACCTGAATAAAACTTGGTCTTAAAGGTGCCACTGGACTGTTTTGGACTGGGGGGCCGGGGGGGGCCCCTCTGCACCTTACCTGGCTGCTTCTTGCTCTGACTGAGGGCTGCCGGGAGCAGGGGGTGGGGCTTGTTGCGTGTGCCCCGCCCCCTGGGCTCTTTACTGCCGGAGCTCCGCTCCTGTGCGCTCCTGCAGGAAATGACCCCACCCAACATGAGATGGATTGACTCCATCAAGGAAGCCACGGCATTCAGTTTGCAAGACCTGAGAAAGGCAGTGAGTGACAGGGCATTTTGGAGGTCATTAACTCCTAGGGCCACTATATATCGGAATTGACACGAAGGCACAGAACCCACACAAAATGTGAGAAGTTGGGTGGAGCCAGGGCGGCACTGGGACTGACTTTGCCCGCCTTCCTTACCAGAGTGCTTAAAGGCCCTGGGCTACATCGAGCAGGCGGCGGAGAGCTACGACAAAGTGGTCGACTTGGCCCCTCTGCACTTGGACGCCAGGATCTCCCTCTCGACCCTTCAGCAGCAGCTGGGCCGGCCGGAGAAAGCCCTGGAGGCCCTCGAGCCCATGTACGACCCGGACACGCTGGCGCAGGATGCCAACGCCGCACAGCAGGTGAGCCGCGGCTCTGGCAGCGCATGGTTCTCTTTATCCATTATTGGCATTCTGTCGACTGAGCCCAGCGAGTCTGATGACCTCACTTCCTGTCTTGTTCTTAAGAGCAAGAATGCGCAATATGGCCGCTGTCAGGTTGTCTCCTTTACCTTGGTGAGCCGTTCGGGTGCAGCAGCTCGAACTGTGGATTGAGCGTTTCTCTTCCAGCTGTTGCAGAGGGGGGGGGTTTCTTTTGGGGAGCGGTTAGTGGCTCGGAGAGATGACTAGAGACTATGGTCCGTGTAACCCTATGGAGATTGACATACCTGCCGTGCAGGAGGAAGTGTTGTGGTCCTCAACACACCCTCCCTCCACAGAGATGGTTTCAGGGGGTCACTGTGTCGGTCTGCGGTACAACAGCTAGATTTGGGTCTGGCAGTACCTTTGAGACCAACAAGAGTTTCAGGGTAGGAACTTTTGAGAGTCAAAGTAGAGTCATAGAATCGTAGAGTTGGAAAGGGCCAGGCAGGCCGTCTAGTCCAACCCTCTGCTCAACGCAGGACCAGCCTAGAGCATCCCTGACAAGTGTTTGTCCAGCTGCTCCTTGGAGACTGCTAGTAAGGGGGAAAATAAGAACATAAGAGAAGCCATGTTGGATCTGGCCAATGGCCCACCCAATCCAACACTGTCACCCAGTGGCCAAAACCCAGGTGCCATCAGGAGGTCCACCAGCAGGGCCAGAACTCCAGAAGCCCTCCCACTGTTGCCCCCCCCAAGCACCAAGAATACAGAGCATCACTGCTCCAGAGATAAGAGCATAAGAGAAGCCCTGCTGGATCAGGCCAGTGGCCCACCCAGTCCAACACTCTGTGTCACCCAGTGGCCAAAACCCGGGTGCCATCAGGAGGTCCACCAGCAGGGGCAGGACACTAGAAGCCCTCCCACTGTTGCCCCGCCCAGCACTAGTGGCTCCAGACATAAGAACATAAGGGAAGCCCTG